ACGAAAATATGAATTAACATTTAACCAAAACTTATTAGTTAATTATGCATCTTACTTCATCAATTATCATAGTGATTAAAGAAAGCCATATAACTAACCCCGATTTGTCTCTAACAAAATCAAAAAATTAGTTAAATATTTAAGTTAATTATAAACATTTTAATAATTATAATTACTAAATAACAATAACTAAATAAAAATAAGATACAAAACTAGATAACTTAATTAATTTTTTTTAAATAGATAAACCAATTAGTTAAATTATTTCTAAAAACTTCAATACTTCAAACATTTTCAATCACATTTCAATCAAAATTTTAATCTATATCAAATTTGATCTGTAACACCCCGGCCCATAAAACAAAAAACCCAGCCCAAAATTGGGCATTAAGAAAAGCAAAGGACAAAATGACGCTGTTTTGATTTAAAAAAAAAAAAAAGGAAACGGCAACCAGACGCCTCATGGAAGTCGAAGAATGAGGAGAAGAAGAACGAACCTGCATGCCGGAGAAGAAGAAAGATGAGGCGTGCAGGGCTCTCCTTCTCCGCTCACAAAAAGGAGAGACTCATTCTGTGGGAAGGAGATCCCATGTGTGAGGAGAGAGAGAGAGAGATTTGTGCATAGAGATAGAGAAAGAGGGTCACGAAGAGACAGAAAACAACTCAGGGGGAGAGAGAAAGAGCGGAAGGGAACAAACTAGACTGGCGGCAAGGTAAGTCTGGTGCATGCGGCGTGCGGTACAACAAAGAGACCCAAAACTAGAGCGCTGAAGAGGGAGAACACACGATGGTGTGCCTAGAGAAGAAGAAGAACCGCAACGGTGGCTAGGCATGGTTTCACGCATCTGCACCTTTCTCCGGCGTGATTCCGCCATATTCAGGTCGGATATACGCGCGCAATTCGTCCTGTGATGGTTTTCGGTCGAAGCATGGCAGTGGTAGGTGGTTCTGGTGGTGCATGCTGGTTCCAACAGCCGAGTGTATGGCAGTTGTGATGCTTCGGTGGCAGTGCATGGCGAACCAAGCAATTCTGATGATCAGGATTGCGTTACGGTAAAACTCAATCCCCTTTTTGTATTCTAATTATTTCTACAAGCGTCTGTTATTAACCTAAATATTTTCTATTTATAAATGAGATAACTATCTAAACAATACTGAATTTATAATACAGTGTAGACCTAAAACAATAAGGATTCCGACACTTTCTTATTCGACTATAGGTAAAGGATTGG